TGCAAGCATACAAGCATGGAACATGGACTGAAATATCATGACAAGTGATTCCAAATCACTGAAATGGCCTAAGTAAAGCATGCTAATGACTCACACACCCAAAGCTAACAAGCTAGAATGCATGGTAGCCATACAAAGCAAGTCATGGATGACCAAGACAACTAAAATCAGACCTCAAGAATGGTAAAACAAGACTAAAATCTTCTTTGAGTCAAGCCAAAATCATGCTAAAAGCAAGGCTCAAAGCACAAAGCATGTTGGGGCAATTTCATGGAAATGCACTACAAGTGCATGGTGTAAGTAAGGGGCTATTAAACCAACTTTAGATAGAGTTATGACATGCTAAAATAACCCCAAAAATCCACTGAAATGAGGTCAACATGAGCTAGAAGGACATGCTCAAACATGAAGTATACAAGACTAGTTTACAAAATTTACACTACGAGTGTATAAACCAAGCATGGAATGAGCAAGATAGGCAAAAACAGTGGCATATGACAGAAAAATAACCACAAATACTAGCTAAGACATGGCCAACATGAACTTAACAAAGGTGCTCACATGTAAGGCAAATATGACAAGTATTGAAGACAACAAAGAGAGGGGATGGCCCTCTCCTTCTTAGGACCTCAAAACACCATCCCCAGAAGGATTTCAGTGGTGAGAAGGCCAATACAAGGTAGTCCCGAAGCTCACAAAAAAGGCACAAAAGTGAGGCCAAACAAGGCCTAAGAGGGGGTAAACAATCCCAAACACAAAAGTAATCTTAAACAAAGATCAAAAGCATTGAAAATCATAACTTTTATCAATTATAAGTTAAGCTCAAAACAGCATGCAAGGTAGGATAAAAACTTGTGCAAAAATGGGGAATAAAGAGGGTAGTTTCTCACCCTTGAAGAACCTTGAAGGACAGCAGCAAAACAATCACTTTATTTAGCCAAACAACCTTCAATCAGCCCAAAAATAGGTTCCAAGGGACCTCAAGCCAATAGTGATCAACTTTGATGAAGAAAGTATATGCAAACAAGAAATATTTCTCTACTTCTATGGACTTCTATGCATAAAAGGGCAATGGAGAGAGGCTCTAGAGAGAGAGGCAGAGGTTTTTGTCTGAAAATTCTAGAGAGAGAGGAGTTTTTAGAGAGAGAGGCTCCCAAACTTGCCCAAGAAGTTCTAACCTTTTCAAAATGAGAGATATAGCCTCATATATAGAAAAAATGAGAGCTGGCTCGAAAATATCTGATTTGGGACAGCTGGAGCAAGCTGACAATAGCTGGAAGAGAAATATCTGTCAAAAATTTGAGTTTTGGACACTTTTGGCAGACCGGCCATCGTTAGTGCCGACCGGCCATCATTTGTGGCCGATAAGGTTCACTTTTGGCCGACCTATGGCTGGTGAGGTCCAATTGTGGCCGGTGGACTTCCATAGAGGCCGATGGAAAAAATCAGTCCTGGTCCCTGACTTGAAGCAAGCCTAATTCCTTCATCTGGACTCCTTTTCAAGTCATTCTTAAGCCTAAACTATAGCCCCAGAAGTCTTCTTTCCAATTATACAAGCCTCACATCAAAATTCCATGTGTGACAAGAGATATCACTCTTTTAGTGAAGGTTGCTCTCCTGGTCCCTGACTTGAAGCAAGCCTAATTCCTTCATCTGGACTCCTTTTTAGGTCATTCTTGAGCCTAAACTATAGCCCCAGAAGTCTTCTTTCCAAATTTGGCAGTCTCACCTCAAAATTCCATGTGTGCTAAGTGATATCCCTATTTTAGTGAAGGCTGCTCAGTTTCGGTCCAACCGGAATGATGCCCAACTTCAACCAATCATATCTCCCCCATCCAGACTCGGCTTTAGGAGATTCTTCAATGAAAAATGAAGCCCCAGAAGTAAGATTTCCAACGGTGGAGGCCTCATAGCTGAAATCCAAGTGTTCAAAAGGATAGGCTTGATTCAGCGAGGGCTGCTCGACTCTCTCTTAACGATTCATGCCCATCTTCTTCTCCAACTTGGTTTTTTCCCTCTTCTCCTCTTTCTTCAATTCCAAACCCCTAAACAAGGTATTTTGAAATATTTTTCAAAGATTTCATCTCTCTTTCATTCATTTCCACTTTGTCCTTGCTCGGTTTACTAAAAAACGCAACATTTGACAAAATGCGAACCTCAGAGCATCGTAGAAACTTTATTTCAAAACTATTTTGAAAGAGAGGATTTTAAGGTTTAAAAACCATTCAAAATAGCTTTGGTCCAAAATGGGGTGTGAGGTTTGGATTTGACTCTCCTTTTGCAGAAGAAATTAAACTTTTGCTCTGTACATCTTTCACCATCAAGTAAACCATCAGTAATGCCCAAGTCTTAAGGGCGGTAAAAAATTGGGTGTTTACAGTGAGGCACAATGGTTGGCTGACAACAAAAACACAATTCCAGACAAAATCTTTCGGGTTTGAACTCCAGAATGCTCACCTATATACATATTTATACAAACAGTGAGCTAAAACCCAGTGAATAACATTAAGGTAAAGGGGTTAGTGAACGAAATTCAAACATATCATAAGCGGAAACAGATCATAGCATAATCATTCTCATATCAAAACATAATAATGGTACATCCCATAGAACACATCACAGAACGTCTTCCGATTAGAGTAATCGGTTCCGGATACTGATTAAACACATATCACCACAATAAAGTGGCTATCGAGATCTCGTAATTACTTGTATGTCATGGACCCACATTTTCATGCCATCCCCCATGACTTGGGACTCTCTATGGATGCCCTAATAAATTTCAAACATGGACTATTCGTTCCCGAAAACAGATATCATTTCAAAAAATCATAGCTTATTACATTTCATTTGGAACATAATTCATATCAACATATCTTTACAGAAATGTTACTCACAGTGGTTCTCGCAAACGGTTAATCAATCTTCAGACGTTGACCTACAAACACAAAGGTACATAACACAACATATCTCATTATTACACATTCACATGGCCAACACGGCTTAGCTTACATTACGTTGGTTCTTGTCAATTCTTAGCTCATTACTTAAAACACCTACTTGCATTCCCTTATCTTAGTACATTCCTTCCTTAGTGTGTTTCTAATCCATAACCTCATTACTATGGCTTAAGTAAGGCTTAGAAATGCCTAAGATGCAATGAGGATGGCAAAACATGCATTGGGACACTTGGTAAAATTTTTTGAAAATAAGGTCCCCGCTCGAGCGTAGACTTCCTCACTCGAGCGGACATGCAAAATGAGAGGGGTCGCTCGAGCGTGACTTCCTTCGCTCGAGCGACCTGCAAACTTGGAAAAAGTACTGGCTGGTCGTAATCCACGCTCAAGCTACAACTCCCACGCTCGAGCGGATCGGGTTTGGATAGCCAGAATCGACAAGATAATATTTGCCTGCAGATAGGACAACAATGTATGACACCAAAAACAAACATTGTGCTTCATTTTTAAGTAACGCTGTTTGACAAAAAATGATAGCCCCATCAATTCAGAATTCATGGCACTGTGTTACCTTCTTCAGGATGTGGAAATGAGACATTGTCATTTGTTAGTATCTCGTTGAAGATGCGACTATCATGCATACTTCCTTCCCATCCGCACGAAATGAAGATGAAACACATGTCAAAATCGCACGTGGCCATGATATTTTGCGTGTGACAGTATTTCCTACTGAAATATGTTGCCGCATCTGGCCCCGTAACCCATGCACTTACATGTGTTCCGTCTATTGCTCCAATACAGTCCTGCCAACAACCCAATTGTATTGTTACTCCTACGGGCACATGTAATGGTTATTTTCATACTTCACGTCCACTTAATAATAATCACAAAATAACTGCACTTCATATAAATAACTGGGTAATGTGTTTCAGTAGTACCTTGAACGGTAGGTATTTCCTTTTAGACAGCACGTATGGATGTATACGATGCTGACTATATGTGGGCCGGCAATGAACAACAGTGAACTCTTTCATAGAAGCTAATACGTTATGCACGTGCCGAGACACAATCTCCCCCGAATGTTGGAACCGTTCTTGGATTTCTCGATTTTGCTTCCCTTTCAACACGTGGATAAACATTGCAACGCTTTTTTCAACAGCTAAGCCATGTGGACGTTGCGGTACTTGTAACCCAAAATCATTTACTAATGTCTCACACAAAATGGCAAAAACTTCCTTCGGCATGGAAACATTTTTCTCAAATCGACCCATATGGCCCGCATATAGTTCGGATATCCATGCATTCCCGGTCAGTATAGAAGTGCGACATGGCGTTTTAACCATGTGTTTTTCGTACCACTTTGTGACATATTGGCATGCTTGTAGAAATGTCCAGTTGTGTTCTTGTTGCAGCTGTACGGCCATTCCTTTAAGCATTTCCCTTAACTCGTCATTGTTGCTTCTATCCTAGGGATTCATCACATCTTTGTTGTCGCGAAACCTACAAGAGTGGCACTGTTTCAATTAGTTTGCGCATGATGCATGGACTCAAGTGTAAGAACAGTTTCCAATTACAGCATAAGCCAACATCATTTTCAATGTAAAAAAATGCTGTCACCAATGTCATGACTACCGCATAATGAAATGAATTAAACAAATAGTGAACCTGGTCATTATCTTGAGCAAGGGGACTATTAACACAGCATAAGCCATTGCTAACACAACCATAAAAGATGACGTCAAACTAACGTAACAGTTTCCCAAACACAATTACATAATTCAAACACAACCATCATATTCCATTCCAAAAAAACACACAACCATTCAGACATTGCGTCTAAGGCAAACATGCAAACCATTACTGCACCATAGCTAGCAAGAAAAAAAAAAAAACATCGTACAAGTTTCAAACATACAGACACAACCATCCTGTTTTAGTACAGTTCCAACAATGAGAAGGGCATGCATCTTCAGCATTAATAACACGGCTATATCACATCTGGCGAGCCCCAAAAAGGTTTGCACACGGCGCCGATGCAGTACACTAGAGTTGCTTCTGTGTAAGCCATCCTATAATGTGGTTGTCATTAGGCTGGCACATCATCACCTCCTGGTAATCTGCGTTATCCATAAGTGTCGAGGCGAAATGAAATAGCGGTGTACCAATAAGGGATGGAATAGTCGTCAGCCGATGCATGCACTCCGAGATAGTGTACAGTGATTCGTTACTTGTGAGGTGCCTTACCGTGACCTGTTGATTCTTGGTACGCACCACATCTGTTAGATTGTTCATGCTTTCTGCAATAACTGACGCTCCACTTGTTGTCTTCTTGGACTTTGAAACACTTGTTAATTGCGTCTTTCTCCTTTTTCCCTTTTCAACCACAACCGGTTCCAGTGAAGAATCTGAATCCACGTCTTGTACTTCTGCGGGTATCGGATCAGCAAATGGCTGTGCTCCCAAACTGCGCACAGAATCAGATGAGTCATCGGCATCTTCAGCAAGTTTCTCTCCCGGGGTCCAATGGTGCTTACTAGTAGCTGATGCTCCCATGAAGACCGTCTCCATCAAGTCACGATGTTCCAAAGTTTTTTTCCTGAACTTGGCACATACCTTGTTTATCTGCACAGTTGAAGATTTATGAAAGAGGAAGACATTACATTTCATATAATAAGTGATGCAGTTAAGTTGATAAGTTTAAATGTACTGGTAACAGACAAATATGAAACGCAAGAAACATGTACTTATCGATTCCATCTTGTCCCACCACTCCTCAGGTGCCTGAAACATACCGATGTCACTGTCCACGCTTGCCACTTTTTTTTCAAACTCATTTATTTATTCTTCAACTATTAGAGGCCAAGTTTTCTTCATGTTTTTTTCTCAAATTTCCTTGCCAAGGACTTGTACCCTGCTTGGCTGAGGACTAGGAATGGCCGATTTCCTTTTGTAATCTCATTTGCAATCAACTGCAGGAAAACTCGGATTGAGTCACTCTCTCATGAGGCCTTGTGGCTGAACTGATTATGTGTCTCTTCAAGACTGCTTGACTTCTCTGTGACAATGCCTTTGCTTTTGGATTAGGTACGCGGAGAAGTACTTATGGAAGCCATTACTAATGTACGCTTACAAAAAGATTACCATCACAAATTCGGTTGTTATATACAAACGCATAAGCCATTGCACATTAATAACAACAAACAAAGAGATAGGATGCTAAATTAGACAGCATATAACCATTGCACATTAATAACATATATACACAGGTTCCATGGAACTCAGTAGTGGACATAGTTATGATAGTCATTAATACGTCTACCGTTCGTAGTGGAGGAAGGCAAAGGCAGCTTAAAGTCATACTAAAACATACTACCAACATACTAACAACCTCGTAACGTGTTTGTACATACTGACAACATCCTAACGTTGCTTACATACGGAGCAACAAAATGACAACGACAATGCATAGCATATACACAATAGTCTTAAGGACACGCAAGGATTGTTGAATGTCTATGACATCAGCCTGCAATTGCATGACAATTTCATTTCTGGGTGACGCATAGTCTTGGTTCTCTCGCCTTGGTTCTTCACACCAACCAATCCAACTGACATAGGGCTGTTGAGTGCAAATGATGAAACTATTAGTCAATGGGTTGTTAATGTTCATGCAGTTATGACCGGTAAAGAATGGGTCACTCACCACAGGGCGGGGACATGCAAAGTAGGGACGCCCTGGATTTTTGGTGGACCTGGAAATCTTAACAATACAGGGGCCATGTCCACAGGCACACTTTCGTCGTGGCCATGTACTGGAAGTTGCAATAGAGGTAAACGAAGCCATGCTATGCTTTACAAACATTCAGAAGTGACAATGAATCATATAAGTAATTACTTTATGTTATCCATATATCAGGTTAAACATGAACTGAATACGCTGATGGACAAGTTTCATAGGATAGGTATACAAACTCCATATTTTGTTCAGTTTATTTTAAAGAAAAGCAGCCTACATTATCATGGTTTCACTGTGAAGGTGTTAATAGAAAGGTAAATATCTAATTTCATTTTCAAACCTAACAGATAAAAAAGGGCATGAACACCGTGTGTTTACATGACTGAAATGAAGAATTCATGATCACATTAAGTCAAGACATTGTAAATTATGAAGCCGTAATCAAATTACAATTCAATTAAATTTACATGAATCAAAATGACAACGTACAAAGACTAACGTAGTACTCATTTGATTCCATTAACAAAATTGATTTTTTGTAAAAGTATTGTGCATCTGTAGCTTCGTATAGTGGTAGGAGTATTTATTAAACCATATGCACTTGCACATATTTGATATATAACCATTAATTTTATTATTATTATTATCCTAGTTATTATTATTATTATTATTATTATTATTATTATTTTTTGTTGTTTTTTGAAATTTGAGAATAGTCTATTTATATAAATAATTTTAAAGATTAAGTTTGTATCCACATGACTAAAATTAGACATACTTTTTTTTAAAAAAATATAAAATTAATTTATATATACTTAGATTAGATCAACTGAAAAAGAGTTATAACCACTCACAGTCCGATCCATTTCACACCCAGTCCAGAATTTCACCAACCCAATGTTTGGTATCACACATTAACATTAAATCAATTAGAATTGGTAATATTTTGACTCATGTCATAATATAAGGGAAATATAATAAGAAACACTAGTACAGTAATCAAGTTAACAAAAAAGTAGATATATGAATAACCAGAAAAAAAGTGAACTTCAATAACACAAAAACAAATCAAGTTAACAGTTTATAAAACAAAAATTTGTAGACAACAATCTGACATTTCTTTCTTCATTCAGCATTGACATATATGAATGAAGTTGAATAACCACGACCCGAAAATGAATAATCAAGTTAATAGTGTTTGAAGAAGTGAAGACAAAATCAAATCTTCATTCACGGAACCCTTTTATTTTTCAATGAAGACAGCTATGAATGAAGATAGCAGAGGGTTTTATTCAGATTTATGAATAATCAAGTTAACAGTGTTTGAAGAAGTGATGCTGAATAAGCACAACCCAAAAATCTGACATATATGAATGAAGACAGATATGACGACTGTTTTTTGGAAGAGAGATGCAGACATTCTCAGATTTATGAATACAACAGCAGAGGGTTTTATTTCAGATAATTGTATGTTAGCAATACATACATTTACATTTCTTTCTTCATTCAGCATTGACGTTACCAATGTTACAAAACATAAATTTGTAGCAGAGTCAGATGTGATTCACAGATTTCATTCACAGAACCCATTCAGATTTCAAATTTCAGATTTCATTCATAGACTCACATTTCATTCAGCATTGACAAATCAATAGGTATTTCACAGATAATAAATCAACTTTTTAATGACAATGATAAGAAATCAACTTTCATTCACAGAATGGGTTCATAGAATGAAATTGTTCACAGAATGAACAATTTACAACTTTCATTCACCAATGTTAGTAAAATCAATTTTGTAACAGAATGGGGTAAATTCACAGAATGAACAATTTACAACTTTCATTCACCAATGTTAGTAAAATCAATTTTGTAACAGAATGGGTTCACATAATGAAATTGTTCACAGAATCAGATTTCATTCACAGATTTACATCTGATTTCATTCACAGATTTACACCATAGATTTACATCTAATCAAATTTCATTCACAGATTTACACCACTTTCGATTTCATTCACAAATCAACCACTTTCCATTTCTTTAACAGACATGTTTCATATTTGAGAAAAATCTAATTTCAGCATTCAGATTTCAGGTGAGGCACAACAGTGAAAGGGATTCCATACTTTTGAAATTTGAGAAATCTAATTTCAGCATTCATATTCAAAAAACAGAGTCCACACTTCTTTTGAAATTTGGAAAAAAATTGTCTTTAACAGAGAAAGGGATTCCACACATGAACCCTAAGCAGATCGGAAGCAGGGGACAGATTTATGCGAAAAGGGAAACGAAATCAGAACAACCATAAAGCATTACCTGAAGATCGGTGGTGTTTGAGAGGGTTTGTTCTTGTTCGTCGCCGCCAACGTACGAGCCAACCGTTCGATTTGCCGACTTGTTCGCGAGTCTTCTTCGACACCGCAGATGCGTACTCCGGTGCCGATCGCCTTTGCGAAGCTGCCTCAGATGTCGTTGCCGCTGGTATACATTAATCGCCTCCTTCGCTTGTTGTGTGCCCTATGAAGGTTGTGTGTGTGGTGAGGCGTTAGGCCTCAGATTCATAGGGAACAGTCAGGGTATTTTGGTAAATTTACCCCAAAAGGGATTGAACCCAACACGTTGATTTTTGTTTTGTCTTTGTTGGCTTTTTTGGCTTTCGAAGATTATTATTGTAATTGCGAGCGTGCCAGCAAGGATTGAAAAATCCTTACAAATTAAATTCAAGCCAATTATCAAGCGATTGCATTGACGGTTCTTTTGCCTCAGCGAAGAGGACTTCAAAATTTTCAAGTGTAGAGAAAAGAAAAAGTAAAAGAAGAAAAAGAGACGGAGAAAGATGATTGAGTGAACAATCGAAGTAATAATTACTTACCTCTACTCCTATGCTTCGAAAAGGAAGTGCATAAAATGCTTTGAAATGGAAATGCTGAAAATAAATGCTTCGAAATATAAATCTATGTTAAACTACTGCTTCGAAATATAAATCTATGTTAAACTACTCCTAAGATAAGGAAAATGACAAGAAATATTGAAATCAATTGTCTTTGATTATGAATTCTCCGATCATTACAATGTAGCCATTAATGGCTATTTATAGAGGAAAAAATACAGCAATAATTACTTAGTAACTACCAATTTCTTCAATCTTCATTCTTGTCTTGCCATGTGTCCTCCACTCATCCACTTTGTCCTTCATATTCTCCACCATCTCTATAACTTTTTTTAACTTCCAAATAAATAAGAGGATGCGACGTGTCCTGCAATTATATAAACAATAAATAATAAAAATTACAGATTTATGGTGCCAACATTACCCCCGCGGCCCTTAAAAATGATGTTTACTTGAATTTTGAAAGGCCGAACCAAGCACATGACTAATCTAAGCAATAAAGTGTTCGAATAATGTCAATAAAGTGCATCGAATAATGTCAATAAAGTGCTTCGAATGATATAATAGCACCAATAAAGTGTTTTGAATGAGTATGAAATTATGACTAGATGACTCGAATTATGACTAGTAACAAGCTTCGAAAGTGGTATAAAGGATCAAAATCATTTTTCGAAGGTCGATGGTGCCGACAAAGGACGAATTACATCCTCACAACCACCATTATTATTTCTTCGAAGCTGTTGTTAATACAAGATAGAGTGCTTCGAAGCTTACAAAATTATGACAAAACGGCTTTCGAAGCAACTTATGGCAAAACAGCTTTCGAAGCTGTTTTTGGCCAACATTGTGGTTATGCAAAACTTATATGTTCTGGTTCACACATAATTAATGAAAATATTAATTTTGTGCTTCGAACCAATTATTAATTCTTCGAAGACACCAAAACTGTTGTTCTTCGAGCCAACTTATGATGCCAAAAACAGGCATTATTCGACAACTAATTAATTGTCATTTTACTTATATTTGAAGAGATGTACACATTTCGAAAGTTTTCAAAGTTTTATACAGTTTCGAAGGTGAAGTAATCAACCTTCGAAACAACTCTTGATGTTTCGAATGTATCTTCAAAGCTTTATACAGCTTCGAAAGTAGAGTAATCAACTTTCGAAACAACTCTTGATGCTTCGAATGTATCTTCGATGCTTTGATTGTGTACATACAAACAATTGGCCATCAATTTGAAAAGATAAGCCATTTTCAACCATTTATTTAAATGCACAGGCTTTTTCTAGCCAAGTTCATGCATTTTAAATGGTCATCCCTTGTTCGTAGTGCTTTGAACTCATAAGAACAATTTATTAATTTTATTAACCACATCATCATAATTATATTTTGATGTGAACCACAAATCCAAAAAGGATTTTGAACACCAAAAGTCATGGTATAGTGTGACAATGAAAATTTATACTTTTTGACATTTTGAAAAATGTCAAAAATTTTGAATTCATGAACAGTGGCTTGTTCATTGTTCTTGACCATGTTTGTTTTAAAAACATGACTTTTGCCGAATAGGTGTTCATAATTATTTGGCAAAATGGGTTGTTTTTCCATGTTAGCCATTAATGGCTTATGAAAATCACCCATAGATATATTATTTTCATGACTTGACTCTCTAAAAATTGATTTTTGGACCCCCCGAGCCATGTATGAAACATCATTCTTAGCCAAATTTGGCTCAAAAACATGCTCTTTCGTTATGTTAATTTCATAATTTGGCTCTTTAAAAACGGACTCTTGAACCCCCCGAGCCATTGATGAAATCAACTCTTTGCTTTTGCTATTTT